AATTGCTGTTATTCATTTTTCAATTAATTGGAAAAAAGTCCCCTCGTCCTTCTCGTAATCAATAAATCAAATGAATGTTGTTTACTTGTTTGTCAAAACCTAACCTCAAAACATTTCTCCGCGTATTAATTACAGTCATTATTTGCTTATCTGTCCATTTGTTTACTATTTCGCTTTTTGTTAATGAGTGTGTCTGTGTGTACACACATTTTAGGTGTCTATGCATACAGAGGTGAGTCTCCAGGAGGATTACGTAAACGTAAACAAAATCTATTTACATACTGACTGTCGCTTCCAGAAGAAGAAGGAAACAGTAGTTAAACATTCAAGAGAAATATACTACTGAAATGGTTAGTAAAAGCAACTGATGAGCAATTTAAGAATGGATAAGAGTACTTTGTACACAATCAGCATAGAGATAAAACGTTAATTCCAAAGCAAATTAAGCGCGTCACAGCAGCAGAGATGGTCTATCTGCCTGTCTATCTATTTATCTATCTATCTGATCCTTTTCTCTCCCAACAAATCCACCTTCTGCGCGAGTGAAACATACAGCTTCATCAAGCTCTTGAATTTTCAACAGCAGTAGTATTTCTTTTACGGGTTGGGATTCCTAGCACCAAGGCCAACCTTTCCTCTTCTCTGGGTGCATTTTCTGCTAGGTTAGGTTAAAGACTGCATCGGCCTGAAATCAAAGCAGAACCTCCCACATGGTTGGCTAGCATTCTGCCATTGAACCATTAAGGCAATAGACTAGAGGGATAATTTGAAGCCAACATTAACATACCCGGCAAGGACTTCCAACAACTATATGAAGTTTTCTCATCTGCTATGTTCTCTCCCAAATGACTTTATCTACCATTTCTAAGGAATAGTTGTGCATTTTTCTAATACTAAAGAACAATGAATCATTTAATCTAAAGCATATTTCTTTCCCATAAACAGACTGCGCTAAAGCTGTTGTCTAGAGAGACAGTGTAAGCTTCCCGATTAAACTATCCAGCTAAGAGGACACAAGTACTCTAACATCATCCATCGGACCAAAGAATCTTCTTCATTATCCCCATTCATGTAACAACTGGGTTTTGAGTGGAAAAGAATCCAAGTATTCCAGTCATCAGTTGCAATGGATAGATTTTTAACATACAACGAATAAATACTTCATCACTTACTAGAGTCCAGTAAATCAATAGTTAGAATGTATTCAGCCCAACAGATGGTCAAGATATATTACTCAGTAGCCTACTATTACAAACTAATGATTTAAACAGTTTGGAAATGATGTGCACCCTTGTCGAGTCATTAGTTAGAACACCAACCTAATAAGATACAAACACATTCAGGTTAATTAGCAAAATATAAAGATTCTAGTGTTCGAGTCCACAATATAGACATCATATTAAAGTCATCAGGTGAAAAGCTACTTGGGATAAATCTCAGCTTTAAGGTACAACTGTTTTTCCAGAAGAATTAGTAAACAGAAAGATAGCTGGTGAATGCCAATACCTGTAAGTAAAATTATTAAAAGTAACGGGAATAGTCATAATGCCAGTGGTAGATGATGAAGTCTGTGCGGAGAAGACGTGATTTCAAAGCACATATAGTGATACTCTTAGCCACTGCAGTTGTAGTGTCAACTGTGTGCAGTCAAATGTTTTCATTATCATAATACTGAAATCAAATACTCGTAGTGTGGTGGTGTGACACAGACAATGTGTTAGTAATAATAATAATGATATTAATAATATTTTGCTTTATTCCAAAACAGTATTTGTGATACAGAATGGAATTCTCAGCATTTTACTACAGTATTGCATCCAGTTAGTACAGCATCAATAAATAAAATTCTACATAGATTAAGGAAATCTCAGTTCATTATGACAACAACATATTCACATGTCGGTAGCAAGCCAAAATTGAACAGAGTGTTAGAAGGTATTAGAAAAGTAAATGGTAGCATATTTACTGGCGTGAGCAGCACATAACAGAAAAAGGAGAGAGAGAGAGACAGAAAAGGAAAAGAAAGATAGAAAACGTTGTAACCATAAATGATATGAGTTGGAAAGACGAGATCCAGTTGTTCTACTGACTATTTAATAAGTCATAAGTTTCACCCCTAGTGCTTTCTTTATCGCACAGAACACGAGCTAAGTAGGGTATGGTTGAGTTTCTGTACTTGCTAGTGCGAGCATATAGTTTTCTATATAGGCTTCTGGTCTGCCTGCCTGATGAGATACAAGAGGAGAGTTGTGAATGAAGAGGGTGGTGGTGTGAGTTATGTAAATAGAATGGATTTAGTCCATTTTTCACATGAGTCCAGGTGCCCGTGAACCAGAATATTAACAAGCTGGTGACACGTTGCTTACCTTTCTGACAACCTTTAACATCCTGCGTAATAAGGTATAGTCTTTCTTCAGTAGCCCTGGGAAAACTAAGGGGAAACAATAGAGAATAATAGGCAGGATGCAAGAGTTAACGAATCGTAGGAGTAAGGCTTGGGTTATTCCAGAATGTCTTAACTTCTTGATATAGAAGGTAAGACGGAATCATCAAGATATGAGACGACCAGGAAAGATCAGCAGATAGAGTGACGCTTAGATATTTAATTTCCGACTTGGTTTCTATCTCAGTGCCATCTATGTTGTACACCTCGTGAGTGCTAATCAGTTTGTTTAGGTTAGATTTATGCCTAATGCTGAAATTGACTGTTTGCCATCTAGAGGGGTTCAAGGTAAGACCGTTTTCCTTGGAACACTGGCTGATTTCTGATAAAAAGCCATTTAGTTTAGAGCAGTCACTTTGATATTTGAGAGGCAAAGATACAGTTAGGTCGTCAGTATATTTAACAAAATTAACGTCATTTGAAGATGGTAAGTCATGTAGAAAGAAAGAAAAGAGAAGTGGGGAATATGATTCTCACATATTCCCACAGTTCAATGCAGCTTTAGCACTAAAATACGATTTATCTATTTGAATATTCTGTTTGTTTCTGCAGGCATAATACTGCTCCCACAGTTCAGTGCTGCGTTAGCAACAGAGTACTCTATGTATATTTGAACATTCTATTTCATGTTGTTTAATGTGTATGCCAAAATCACACGCTCAATGATTGGTTATAGAATATAAAACTATATATGTAGTGTTTTGATCACTTGAAAACATACCTTGGTTTCCGTATCTTGCCTTCTGTTGTTACGACCGTAGTGTAGTAAGAAACAAGCAGTGAACGATTAAAATTCAACCAGTACAGTAGCTACTTGCTTCATATGCGTGCTGGATACTGTCAGTTGATTTCATTCAGGGAGTGTGTAAATCATTCACTTATACTTCGTGAAGACTGTTTCCAACAAATATGGGAAAAAAGTTTAATTATTGGTTACAATAGATAACTCTTCCTTTTCATACTCTAGAATCGTTTTAAGAGGCTTGTTATATAATCACTGTTTAAAAATATTGGAGTGAAGAACATCATCAGTATTCTGATGACCTTTTACATAAGCACTTGCTTCCGATTTCCTCAGGTGAACAGTCTTAGCAACTGGTCGTTATAAAAGATGAATCAACCAGCAGTTTCTATGAATTCGAACTGTTCAAATTTTCCAGATACACAGGTTATCCGACGGCATATGTCTCTATCTCAGTTACGCAAATGCCTCGAATTACAGGTAAACCTAGGAAGACAGTTAGTTTTGTTTAGTGTGAACAACAATGACATTTCATTTATAGAACAACTTCTGAGCGAAAGCACTGATTGAAGAGAAATCAGGACTCATAAGTCTAATTAATGACTTATGTTGGGCACAAAAGCATCACATATTATGATAAGATTGTAGCATCTTAAAGTGTACTGATTAATTAGCGTTTTTTTTAAAAGTACATATTTATTTAAAAAAAACACTATTCCTTCACCTAAGGAGATGAAACATAAACATAACACACACACACATACACACACATAGATACAGGCAGAGATGGTTGACCGGTACGTGAAGTTTGTTACGAAGAGAAATCTTCTGCAAGTATAATCTAAAACCCTTAAGATTTTACACTGATTGATTACTTATACTTTAACGTAGTCTTCTCTATGCCACAAAGGAAATTAGTCATGATAACTGTCGTAAGACTAAATAAGAAAAGATGCAGAATGTCACATGGAAAGCCTACCGTTTATTAGTAATTTTATCAGTAAAAAAAACTGAACTATTGTCCAAATTCTCAATAATGTCTGATTACTACTTGCAAATAGTTTAGAGATTTGGTACGTGTCGCCGAACATATTCCCAACAAACAGCCTACTCCAGACATTCATCAACAGTTGCCCCCCCTTCTCTGTCTCGATACAGAGGATCAGATGACCGGCCAGAAAGGATAAGCAACCAACAAGAAACTCTCATAGGCAGTAAACCAACCAGTAATCTATTGCGAAACCAACAAATTTACAGAGGGAATAGGTGATGGCTTGAACATATGCTAGTGACATGACACGCTAGGTGTTTGGATGGCACCCAAACGCGAAGCGACGGGCTTGAGGGCCACATTGAGAGGATGATGCAAAGTGGAAATGAAAGTTTGTAGGCTGGCCTGGAGTCGGTCGAAAATGATGGCAGAAGAATAGAGTATAATAGAGATGTGTCACTGAAGTGTGACGTTCCACTCAGAACTGCAAGAAACAGATACTAATAACAATTAACTCGTGTACGGAGGATATAAAAAGTTATCTTGTAGGGGTAAAAAACAACAATCAATAACTGTCTAGCGCGGCGTTTTGTTTAAGATGTTTTTGTATTTCAAGTCATTTCGTGAAAAGAGTTTACACAGCAAATAAATCACGACAACTACCCGCCTGAAAGGTATTTTCCCCTTTTTAAAATCTGTCCATTTCAGACACGAAGCAACTGGTGCATTAACTATGAAACAGATAAATATAATTAGTTTTTACTAAGGTATTCAAAAAAAACTACAACTAAAAAACTAATATGAAGCAATACGACAACACTTACCGAATTGAATCTTTATCAATTGCTGGTGACAAGTGCTCGAAAAGGACTTCAGTAATTTCCGAAGCATTGAAACGTGGCCTTATTCGCCTGCATATCAATGCACGATCCAGAAACACTGTAAGTTGAGCCATCTGACATTCAAACATATTGTATGCCTGCCTACAACGATCCAAACCACCAGCTGAGGCCCCACCTCTGCCACCAGCACTGCCTCCATTGCTGTTCGTGCTCATACCTCCTGCTCCGCCATTTGTTCCGTCTACAGAATTCTGTTCAGTTTTACGATAGACGGAGCTCTTCTGTTGTCCTGTTGTTACATGCCCACTTGATGGACCGTTGACATTACCACCAGTTGTAACTACAGTATCGTTTGACGTTAGATTTCTAGCGAAATGATGTGATGTATTAGTAGTAGCAGTTGTAATAGCAGTAGTTGATGCTGAATACCGATCATTTAATACTTCTCCAGTTTGTGGATTCAAAACTACCATCTCTTGTTGTTGTCGAAGTACACCAGCTTGATGATGCATTATATACTGTTCAGGGTGTAAGGGTTGCAGTGAACCGATCACACTATGCGGTTAATACAATAGAATAGATAAAAGTCCGTATGATTAACTGACGAAATTCTAGTGAATTGAATATGAGAAATGAATGTGTGTGTGTGTGTATGTTCGTGTGGTGACAGTAAAATCACAGCAAAATTACAAAAATGGTTTAAATATCATATCATGTACAGATTTACCCTACGGTAGCAATGTAAGGTATTCATTCATAAACCAACCACCATAGACCTAATCTAGTCGCTAGAACGGCAACAACGACAGCGTATTTCAATTGATAGGACGATGATAACCACGGCCTAGTGTGTAGGCTTTAATAGAATAAAAATTAAGAACATTCAAAAACAAGACACACTAAAGAAGTCATGTGACAGCCTCGATTTACTAGGTAACCAATAGTATGGAGGTATGTTGTGGTATGTGTGTGTAGTGTGCACTGCTCTAGTGGGTGTATACACACACACACGTGTACCTGCATACACTAATACACACGAACATTTAAAATCATCGTGTTCCGTTCACTAACTGCAATAATAATTATTTTTCGTTTGCACTCTTACCTACTTCTAACAAATACAGATGTCGATTCACTACGATATAAATCAAACCTGAAACCATGATACCAAATCTTCATAGAAAAGAAACCAATTACAGATACCTCTTTAATAATAGTATTCGAAACAATACCAGTTAACAATATATAAAAAGTGCAGTACTCTGAACTTTTCACTAATATACAAGTACGAATAAATGTGTTTGTACTTTTTCGTATAAGTCAGTCAGTAAAAATTATTTTCAATTCCATCCCATCTACGAGATTTACCAAATTGAAGGTGTGTCTAATTTGTTCCTATGGGTGTTTGTGTGTCTGTATGTGTTTATACAAATGTATAGGTGTGAACACGTGAACTAAACTATTCTTATCAGTACCAAAATGGAACAGATTTCAATAGATATGGTGTAAGAACACTTCGTCATGTATTTTTTTCGCCATCTCTTACAAACAAAGGTGTGAACTTAGTGATCTGAGCAACTTAAAGGATAAAAAAGTTTGCTACTGTGGTAACAAAATATCAGTGAAGTGTGCATGTATGTGTATCTGCTTGTGTACATTCATGGACAAGGGAAGCAAACGATGTACCACCGAATCACCTAATGTCATACAATGAAGTCTACTGGGTGTTCTTCCGTCCCTCACTTAATCAGTTTGAAAAATGTTAGTGCAAAAGGAGTGAGCGGGTCACAGTAGTAGAAACACCCATGTTAGACAGATTTATTTGGTATGACACACACACACACTGATACAATTTCAGTCGTTGGGTTATATTTCGAGCACAATTTATTGCTCATAATCCTGCGCTATTTTCGTAATACTATGCACGATAGGTATGGTGTCATTCCTATTGCGCCTGTCTGGTGTTGATTCAATGAACAAAGATTCTGTGTGATTAACCACTCTATCTCTCTCCACTTAACTAATATTACTTTCTGTTATCTTTTTTTATCCCAACATATTGTGTGACTGCATACAGGTGAATGCAGATTTTTCCCCGAGATTATTTAACTTCACGCATTACCCTGATCCTGTCTCTGTCTTCCTTCCAGATTTAATTCTGTCTATTCTCTATCAATTTACGTCAAACCTCTTTACACTACATTAATCATGAACTGGGTAAATTTGATTGGTTCATATTATCACCATATCATTCATTGAATTTTTCTTTAGACCAATGTTCACACTTTCCAGTTAACTAACTTGAAATGGTTCCTTTTAAAATAAGGATTCGTGAGTATTTATCAATTGTCCAGGGCTTTTAATTGATGTATCCTTTGACTGAACACTAGTAACTAGTGTGATGTGTCTAGTCCTCTCTTTCTATCAGTCAGGTTTGCAATGTGGTTACCATTCTAGGTGACTCGCCATCACGGTGCACAATGATTTGATGATATTAGATGGTTGGAGGCGATCGGCAGGTTGCCTTCTTATTACTTCATAAATGCGCCATTGTACCAACATCTCAATTGTTACTTTTTTTTTAGGAAACTAGTCAGCTACTGTTATTAAATCGTACGTCAATTTTGCGCTGAAAATCGATTTTAATCTAATCGGAAATTCTTCAAAAGTTTTAAAACCTGCCTAAATTAAACCTTGATAGTTCAAATCATATGACCGATCGATAGATCTATCGTATTTAGGCTGTAACGTGACTGTAGCTTCTTGTGCTCCTTCATATAGAATACCACCTATGCATACACATAAATAATTTATGACGCCAACTTTCACACGTCTATTGAGTCACTGTATGGGTAGGATGAAAAGCGAGCTATTAACGTGCATTTCGCCAAAGTCTTTTATAATTCATAAATTGTATTTTAGCACATGTGAATTACACAGCTACAACATATATTAATAATAATAAAAAAACTGAAAACAGTCAACAGAAATTATTAAGCTAGACAGTGATTGACGCAACCGACGTACAGCGCCATCGCCATATTGGATTGCTTTTTCTCATACTATTAGCGTTCCGAGTGGAATATAGAGAGGGCTTTAAGCCTTGAGGTTTCAGTAACGATGGTCACGTTTATTTTCACAGGTTGAGGTTGATATCCTCGTGGCCAACCTTCCCTCTTTCTCTGACTTCCTATTGACCAGTGAATTAGACTAGGTTTCAGGGTGCTTCAGACGAGGTAACAACCCGTTTTTCTTGCCTCTATGGGAAGCATTCTATAAATATCAATAAATATATCTTCCATTCCCTCACTTATCCGCCACCATCCTGCGTAAATTCAGTCAAGCCTGATAGAAAAACACCTGAAAGTCCAATGATACATGTTGTATTAGTTTGTATTTTCCATAGCTGAATGGGATTTTGTATTGATCAGATACAGCATAAACTGGTGTCTATCTGAGCTCAGTGACGATGTCATTCAGTGGTTAATATATGTGTAAAACTTGAGCAATGAGGTGGTATGTAATTCTGTATTAGTTTGTCTATTGGATAAAACAGTATTAGTTACTGGGTAGTGTTGGAAACATAGTTTATCGTACACAATCATATCGATTATAACTACACAACTTCGGAACTCGACTTTTATAGCTCCTTTTTTCCTTCACATTGGACAATGGGGTAGAATTTTCCAGGTGTCCAAGATAAACGCTGAGTTACTGCTATTGCTCATGTTCTTAGTTAATTCGATAAATAAATATACATTACAAACTGGTAGAAGTTGGAATTCGTTGACTACTGGTTCTAGTCTCAGTGGGTGAGTTGTTACCGGAAGGTCCAGGAATTTGGGCCCGAGTGGATGCCCAGTGATGAAGAGTCCTAAAGCAGGACGAAACAGATATTCAATACTCTCAGGTTTTATAATCCTTCTATGACTGATGTGATCAAGTCCATGAACACCAATACTTGATAAATAAAGCTTCAGTTATCAGACCGGGGTCAGTTAAACCAATGGTGCAGAGGAAAACCAAGATAAATATAAATTAGTTGATCCTAATAAGATAAGAACTCTAGAAGACTGCTCAGCTACATACAAAACAGGACAAGGTGACAGTTATAAAATCTAAAATAACAGGATCGAGGGAGAGATTGATAACTGAAGCCTTATTTATCGAATCAACTGAGAACACATGCAAACAGGAATGATGCGACAGTTGTCAGATGCGAACATTTGGAAAAATGTTCTACCCTTACGACAAACTAAAAAGAAGCTTGAAAATTTAAAACTCAAGTCTCAAAGTTGTGTAGTTACAGTCGACATAATTCTATTTCACCGTGTGTGCTATGTATTCAACATACAAGTTAATATGGAATTTCATGCAGTAGTTGTTAGTCTATGACACTTTTGAGGCATAAATTAGAATCGGAAATATCTCAACCACAATACGTGAGTTATAGACGCCAAGAATAACTCTTGTTCTGTGATCTTTTACTAAATACCAAAACAAAAAAGAATTTATTTCTATCATTGATTTATACACTGTTTATCTCATAATATAACAGCAGTCTTTTGAAGAAATAATCGCTTTCCATTTGAGTTATATACCGACTATTATTTCCATATTTATTGAACCGGTTTTATTGGTACACCAGAAATCACTAGTCTGCAGTATGTGTGCATATCTCAGCTAAGTAGTCATGACTAGATAGTTTCTTTGTGTCCAATCTGTTGTTTAGCAGATAATAACAATGACAACCAGAAAAATATTTAAAACGCACATTGAAGGCACCTTCCGTTGCATATATATATATATATATATATATATATATATATATATATATATAATATTGGCAAAATAAAAGCCGACGAAATCAAAATGCGGCTGTATAATTAATTGCCTGTATATTCCATTTCCATCTATCTCACTAAGCTGAAATCTGATTGGCTACAGCAAAGTAATACCATTTTTCTCATCTCTCATACTAGCTTTATAACCTCAGGATACAATCCGTCTAGACATGCTTTAAGTTGTATTGAAAAGAAGGAAGGCCAAGCTTTTTCCTGAACTATTCATTTATCACTTTGTATTTCAGTCTGGACATTGAAGTCAAATAATAGATGTTTTTTTAAGTAAGTGTCGATTTCTCACATTATTAGTCTATTGGTTGCCGCGGTGTCAGACTAGATTTAAGTCCAAAAAGCGCCATTCTCTTCTGATTTATTTGCACTGATGTCTATATAGATGAGGTGTGTGTGTGTGTGTATGTGTATGCGAGAGCTCTAGCTCGAGCTTGCAGAAGAATATTTCTTAAATATTCTAATATTTTTGATTACAGCTTGATTCCACACTGTATTTTTGGTACAGGTATGGAATTTTCAGGCCGACCATGGATATCAGGTGTGTGTCGGCAGGGGATCGAATCCCGGACCATGAGTATGATCGGCGAGAGTCATAACCGCTGTGCCACCTACGCAAGAAGTCACAACGTAAATTGGAACAAATCTGTTGTTATTTTAATACAAAATTTAATTGTACATTACCGAAAATTCTCAGCTACAAGAGAAGTATTTCAACTTTTTTGTTTTAAGAACACTAGTAAAAATATCACATGTTTTGGAAAAAACTTCAACCCAGATGGTAGACAACTCTCGATTTCTTTATTCCATTCTTCTCTTTTTTTCTATATCATCATGAGATCACTTTGCTTTCGATCTGGGAGTAGGAAGGTCGTGTGTGAACTTGACGTGATGTGCATATATATATATATATATATATATATATATATATATATATATATATATATATATATATATGTGTACTATAGCTTTTGTATTTAGGCGCAAAATAATAAATAATTCTTCGAAAGGACATTAGTTGTATTCAGACAAACTTGTAAATTTAGAAACAATGACACGCTAGTGAAATTTTTCTCTCTCTACCAAAGAGATAAGCGAGAGAGGAGAAAAGAAACAGGGAGTACAATTTATCTCATTTATCCTAGCCTGTCAGCGATGCCAGGTACTAGGATAACAGTTCTGTATTGGATAATCCAAGTAGTGGATAGCAAGCGAGTAAGTCAGTAAGCTTCGACTGACACCAAAGTAACACAGCCATTCAGGCTGTTTAGTCAAACTGACTGATGCAATTACAGTAATTTGGTGTGAAGCTGTATGTGATAATAGTGATTTTGGTCAGAATATTAATTACACTCTTGCTGAGAGTTTGTGTGGACAGCTTAAAGTGTTAGAAATGATGAAGTAGCCTTATTCAAGAGATAAAATTCAAAATAAACTTGAGTAGACAATAGGCTCAAGTTGAGTATTCTCCTGCATTTCAACTATATGCACATGTTATTCTATACGTCATAACTTCAGCCAAGAAAAAGAAAAGAAATACAGCAAGTTATGTGTCCGTTTAACAATAAAGAAGAAACGACTAAATAATTCATCATTCCACGTAGATTCATTTAAATCAACACTATACTCGTCCTCTAGGTTATACAAACCACTGAAATGAGCTGCCCACCTTTTAGACACAGAGAATAAGCAAAAGTTGTGGAACTCGTGAGAGCAAGCCAGTACAACACATAAGAAATACATTTATTAAAGTTGGATTCTCAAATCGATTAGCTTCATTTATTACCAATTTACTGATAATTGATTATGATTATACTGAAAGCATCAAAGTGTAGTGGCAGGTAGAATTATCCGGTTTGAACTACTTAAACAGTTGACAGTTAGTATAAAATAAGGAAAGAGATCTGTAATGCTCAAAGTATGTCTCATCTACTAGGCTATGAGGCATACACTTATTGTGTAAAGTGCTGGCGGTACTACCCACTCACCCAGGCTGAAATAGGTAGTATTCGAACCAGCAGCCTATTGACTGAAAGTCAATTATCGATTAAGTCAATAAGCCTGAATGATCCACAATACTTGAGGAATGTTTCAAGAAATCAAAACCTTCCTGGAAAAAGTAAGGGAAAAACAATTAAAGAAGTAACTCACTTCTTTTTCTCTAAATCTTCTCTAATCTGATTGAAAGTCATTTTCGAGCTTCCGTCGAAGTCCTGACCATTGTCCCCTCCAACAGTATTTATTGTCGATTGATTTGATATTTCTTTTTGTTTAAGTGCAGCAATATCTGGGTGCGGCTCTTGTTTTGGCTGAGATGAATTTGTGAATGTGGTATAACTTTCTTCAGTTTTCATATTGGTTTGTTCTGATTCCTCGTGAACAACATCTTCCTCGTAATCATCTTCATCATCGTAAACATTGGGTTCAGTGGTGACTTTCCTGTCAATTGGCAATTCGTCATCTCCATCGTCTATGCTTGTCTGATATTCACCATGACTGGGCATTTCATTCGTATCACCTAAATGGCCAAAAGAACTTTGAGATGGTGTATTCTCAACTTCATATGGATAAGAAGTGTACGATTCCTTGATTTCCGATTGATCTGCCATTATATCTGATACACCAACTGTTGTTCCCATTGATGTATCACACGTTAATTCTTTTAAATTTTTATTGGTATTATCAGCAGTTATACAGTTTACAGACTCTCCTATTGAATTAGTCAGAGAAGAGCGTTGTTTCGACGGTACAGATTCACTCGATATAAGTGAATTTCGATTACTATTATCGAGAAAATCGTTAGTTGAGTCCTTCGTTAGTGATGCTTCAGAATGTGTGTAAAAAGAGCCAGGGTCTTTTTCGTGTGATGGTTCAGCAACCAATACTTGATCGAATTGCTCTGTCTCCTTATCTCCCTCTTCTTCTGTTTCTTCTTCTTTTTCTACTGGATGGTATTCAGTTAAAGGGGATTGAAAACACACTGTATCAACTTGTGACTGGGAAGTAAAAATGTCAGGTGATTCAGTAGATTCAATTATCTCCTCCTCAAATTTGGATGAATCAATTACTTCCTCCTGAAATTCAGCTGTTCTGTTAACTTCTCCTTCAAAGCTGGATAACTGTTCCGCTTCTTGCTCTAGACAAGATGGTGTAATCGCTTGTTCCTCAACGTTAGCTGATTCAGTAAATGCTCTTTCAAGATTAGAAGACTCTGTCGATTCTTTATCAAGTTTCAGTGATTCAGCTGATGCTTTTTCCAAATTAGGCAACTCAGTTAAGTCTTTCTCACTGTTCGGTGACTCGGCGACTAAACTTCCAGTTTCGAATGTGTTACCTTCTTCTTTCAATTCAGAAATACCAGTGAAGTTGTCTGCTTGTGTTACAGGAACCTCTGGTCCAATATCTGCATTCAAGTAATCAGCGGACTGATTGTCAAACTCGTCTGCAATGTAACTGGATAAATTCGGAGCTACTTCGTCTGAATACTCGTTTTTTTGTTGGAAAGTTGGTTCTTCTGAGAAAATGTCTTCTTCTTCTTTATTTGAAGAAACTTGTTCCGCTTTAGATTCTTGATTGTTTGACAATAAATCACCCAAAGCAACTTCACCAATATGCGATGCTATATCACTAGGATCCTTGGGACTTGGTGAAGGCGTTGGCGGGAAATGTTCTTCAGTATTCTCTAGTTGTAGCTCTTGACAAACTGAAAGTGGGGGAGATGGAAGCTCGTTGTCAGATATTAGGACTCCTTCCTCTTCTGGTATTTCTATATGGTGATATTCTGTTTCTTTGTGTAAATCAGGCCCAACTTCCTTTATAATATAAGTATCGTAGTCGTCTCTAATGTCTTCACTTTTCTCCGTTATAACAATATCACCTTTATTAATATCTTCGCTGAGAAGAGATACTTCTGCTTTCGTAGTCTCCAGTGGTGAAACCTCTTCACCTTCTTCACGATATACTAAGTTGTTATGGTCAACTGACCCGTTTTCTACAAGTTGTACAGTAGTGACCTCCACGATTGTAAAGAAAATGAACAAATGACTAGTCTATTCAGTGGAGACAATAAAGGTGAATAGGTTTTGATGGTAGAAAAGTGGTTTCTTTCACAGGATAAATTTTGTTTTTGTCCAGCGAATGTCACACTACTGAACAGTCGAAAAGCTGAAATTTGGTGATTTCAGTTGGGATTGAATTATCTGTAAAGGCGAGAAACAAAGTTGGATGTTAAGGTAGATATAAACTACATTCTTCCCCCAAAATATATACCGTGAAAAGATATCAATTAAAATACCACTAACCCCACATGATCTTCACAACCTTCTCTCTAGATATGAGTTAATGACTGATGGTTGAAGGAATCTCTATAGGGAAAAAAAGTGTTTCTGATTGAGATTTGGTTATTAGTCACAAGATCATTAGTATCTGTGATAAGAGTCGAGACAGCCTTGTCAAATGGTTACATAGTGTTTGTGAGAATAGTGTCTCTAGTTTAGTGCATCAATTCCCGCAAAACGCTTATCATTAAATAACAACGATGGCCATTATTGTTTACATTACTTAAACATTACATTACATTGTTTAAAGTTACTGGCACCTTTCTTATTAGAGCGAACAATAATCATCTATATAAACACTCACTAAAAACACATACCAGCTTTCCTTCCTTATCGGAAGCACTGCTGGTAATTCGCAAATTAGCATCAAAAGCTCTAAAGATAAAAATATGTTTACAGGATTTCATCGTGAGCTGACATTAGTTAGAGAACCATTGGAAAACCAGCTGGGAGTACTGGATAGCTGTTTAGCCATAGTTTGGGACTCTTCATCAGTATGCACCCACCGGGATTCGAACCCAGGACCTCCTGATTACAAGGCGAGCTCGTAGACCATTAAGCCTCTGGGACCCGATCCAATGGCCCATGAGTTCTAACTCCTGCCAATTCACGACATAGCGCGACCCCTAGCCAATGTCTTCGGCGAGTACTTGTCCTCATACCCGACCAGCTGCACCTTACTGGTCACGACTTATGTATATGTATATCTTGATCTGCCTAATTCCAATTCTGTTCCAATGAGATCTTGCCTCAGCTAACTTCAGCCACTTTACAAGGTAGTCAGTTAACAGACGCAATGTACATGTTCCAATCACATGAGTTGGTGCAGTTCGAGCAAATTACTTGCTTTTGATTCTTTGCTCCGTACACTGACTTAGTAGGAATTTCAGAAAAAAAAAAGTTTCACATTAAGTCATGGCAGAATCAGAAAGGCAAGATACACTTTCGATACTCTGAAATCATTTTGTAAATCTTCAACACTCCACCTCAACAAAAAGAACAAGATTCGAATTTTCAACACCAGTATAAAGTCAATCCTCCTTTACGGGTTGGAAACTTGCGCTGAGTTCACGAAAAGCATTTCCCAAAGGTCACAAACTGTTTTTTCAACAGCTGCCTTAACTGGCTGGCTCTATAATGAAAAAGAAATCGCCGACCAGAAAGAATTAGCAACCAGAAACTTTGGCTGACAATAAACAGACCAAGAACCGATTGCTCAACAAATGTATAGGAGGAAATGGAGACGGATTGGGCGTACGTTGAGGATACCGTCGAAAGACAACGCGTGCTAGACCATCACTCGAGTGGAACCTGAATGCTGAATGACGAGTGGATCGTCGGTGCGAGGTTGACATGAAGTAGATCGTGTGAGTCGGAGGAGGAGGAGGAGATGAGAGATAGGTTGTGGGCAATCATGGACCCAGTTGAAGAGGACAGCAGGGGATAGAAGAAAGCGTAGATGTGTTGTTGAAGTCCTATGTTCCATTTGAAACCCATAGGAGTAATAATATAATAATTTCTGACTAACGTGTCCTTATAGGAAACACTCATCAGGAAGACGCATCAGTGCTAATGATACAAGAGAATAGATAGCTTCTTTTCATTTCTTGAGTTCCGAGTGGAACCCTGGGCTTCAAGGTTTCGAATTTTCAGTTGAAGTTGTTTTGTTTTGCTAGCCTTAGAACCAAACTTCCCTCTAATTCTAGCCTTACCATGGACAAATAAACTAGGTGTGTCGGTTGCGAATTGAACCCAAACCATGTGTGTGGGGGGTTATTCTTCATTCATCTTTAAACGCATCAATTATCTTCTCACAACACACTTCTGAATATTCCGATGCCGGAAGTAAAAATGATTGGCCATCTACTGATTGATTAACTCCTAATTAATGTCACGATTATATTCTTAGGGTGTGGTTATTTCACAGTGATCCGATGCCATTTTTATGAATACAGTGACCTTTAAAACATTAAAGAGAAAGTAAGTGCTCAGCGAACAATGTGTTTATGCAATAATTCTTTTGAAGTTTTATTGAGTTGATTTTATTTTCTCAATACTGCCCCCCCCCCCGCGTCCCCTACCTATGACGATGACTACTCATCGATACCAACGACCAACATGGCCACTATATATATATATATATATAAGCTATAAGAATGAAAAAGACAACACCGATATCCAGGAGTTAGATAAGCAGAAAATCAAACAACAACAAATTGTAAACTTCTTTTGTCAGTACAATCAGTATTCATTTTATCAGTTGACAACACAAGCTTTATGAAACTAGTAGACATGATGGTCATACTTAATTTTCACTATAATCATATCTAGAGATTTAAATTCACTCAGGGTTTTGTTTCAATAATCATTATTCTAGATAGGTATAAAATCATTTTTATTTTCTAATTATTTGTCAGAGAAAAGCAATTTCTAATCATGTATGTCTATTTGTGTCACTTTTCTTTTATGCGCTTACACGTGTGTGTGTGTGCGTGCGTGTGTGCATGTGCGTGAGCTATAGTCACTACTCACTTAATACTAAGCAATCCTTTGGTCATTTGTTCTGCCTTCCTGATAGTTTGACAGCCTTAGGGTGGAGTGTGTAGCTGTTGTCAGTTGAACAAAGTTAATCAATACGTTAAGTTTTACGGACAAACATCACACACACACCCTACGACTTCATTTCAGTTTAGAGTAGATTCAATCGACATTATTTCACAATTGATATTAATCGCAGCAACAACAACAAAAAACTCTGCCATTTTAAATGAAATTATGATGAGATTATGTAGGAAATAGGATTCTAATCCTGACTGGGTGTTTCTTCCTGTCAAGAACTTAGCAACTATAATCACTAAGCCAGATAATCAGGTTCAGTAACAATTGGTTCACACTGATTCAAGAAGCGATTATCTTAATGTTCCAAGGGATGGTAAATTAGCTGTCAGGCATAAATAACACCTGTCAGTGAGATTCAGTTACACATACGTCTCCTTCCTGGATTTCACCAACAGACACCACACTTAGGAAGGCTAAGATTGAAACCGCTGATTGACAAGTCATTTAGAGTGTTTAGATGAACTGCAAGGAATTAGAAACTGTATATTCGAACAGAAGCGCACTGAAGTGATAAGTATTTATTTTGATTGTTAGTTTGGAACATGTATCCTGACAACTGCCAGTCTAAAATAGACAGATTTAATTGAAGTCATTCAGCGCTAAAGTATATTACCAAGCCAAATAAATGTGTGATTAATAAAGAGACAGTTCCGAGTCCTCTGAAACGTTGAGTTTTTTTTAGTTGGGATACTGTATGTGGAATATATATATATATATATAATTGCTGATCCATTCTGCTAGAAGCTACAGGTGCGTTAACATCAATACAAATTCTTTTTCCTTTCATATAAGCGATATTTCCTTTAGAATAAAGGTGAATATGTTGTTCATTGGCTGAGATCCTAATTTTGATGAAATGCTTGTTGGTAGAGTCATCCAAGTTATAACACAGCGATAGAGAGATGTGTTCCTAGCCAAACTGTAGAATGGCCCTCTCAGCGATGCAATAAATCATTTGGATTTCTGTTGGCGTTGTGTTGGGGATAAATTTATAGTTCTGAGCTATGAAAGTGACCCAGCGTGCATTGTGGAAAAATTTGACATAGCTCATTCAACCATAATTTTTACCATAGAGGAAGAGAATGGTTTGGATGTTCTGATAACAAGACAAGAAGATGGAAGAACATGTAGAAGCTTACACTGTGAAACCTGAATCATCTAGTTGATATACCCACTTTCTGGGTTTTGTCCCTCTGCAATACAAATGAAATCTGCCTATAAGTTTAGTTCATCATGGTAGAGTTATTTGCTGTGACGAAATACTCATAGAAGAGTATTTGTGTAAAATCAGATATCCGATGAATTTTTGAATAAATATATGGATTCAGCAATTACAAAGACCAGAGAGCCTACACTTCCAAAAAGATCAGTTTCCCTAAAACTACAATTCACAGGAGATGTTAGCGAAATTGTCTCAAAATATCTGAGATTGCTAAAAAGGATTTTCAACGCAGGTAGTAAATTCACTGTTCATTCACGAACTAACCAATACTTAGTTAATGAGATAATGACAAAAGGCCTTACTTCGCCTTTACCACTTTATCTGCTCCTGTGGGGGAAGTTCGTCATCGAATTTCTGAATACCAACCATCGTAGTCAGACTACATGCAGCTCAATGATAGTGTGGCATGTGCTACTGATGAGATTTATCAGTATTAAATAAACAGACAGTCATCGACAGAAAAATATCAGATAGCGGAGAGATTGATTTGATGTCAAATAGAGGAAATGAAATAGCGTTGCAGCAAAACATGGGGGACACGAGAAGGAGACAAAGAAACACAGTATGAAGGGCAGAAGTAGCGCGACATGGAAGATACGTGCAAATAAAGGTTTATAGATAAGGTGTACATAATTTCGCTATATAGAGGAACCAATTTCCTAATAAACATTCCTTTACCAAGCCTTTCATCTTCTGCCGTTACAATAGTTCATTAAGACGACACTGGAAGAGCTTTCAAAGTTATTTATCTTATTTCACCGGACGATTTTTACATGCAACAGGGGTGATTGGAATTCATCTGAAGAAGCGAAATCTGTGTGTGTGTGTTGAAAAGAAATCTATGCATCCCCTTTCTTTGCAGTGGCCCAAATAATATGAGGAGGAGGAGGAGGCTACAAATGATTTTCCCCTGCCTTTGCAACTATCATTCGACTTTATTATTCTATTTCCTCTTATTTCATTATGATTACCATTCTAGATAATTCAGTTAACTTATTTATACCTTGTTATTCTTACTGAATTCGTTCGTTTATTCTTTTAACTCATGATCACTTTACAAATTATCGATTGTGTAACAACATGCCACTAACTTGCTCAGAGCAAAAATTTCCACCCCCCCCCTCCAATACCTTAAAAATGATGATTCTTATCGATTAACATAAGCACATGACTGATTTAGTTTTGAATTAAAACTGTGCGTATATCAGTGTACAGTCGTTAATAAGGAACTAATTGAAAAGAAAAATGTTTCTTCACTTAGTTCGTTTGGTTATTAATCTAGACAGAATTGAATTTTCGAAGCAACATGGTTTTCCACAGAAGTACAGAAATGCCCTGGAGATAAATGTCGACCGACAAAACACCGAGGTCTTACCTCTCTGAAGACTGACACCAAAGTTGGAATGATTCTTCACCAAAAACCAATCGTCTCAGACAGTTGTTTTCTTACTAAATGGCTTGTTCAGTAAAAAATCTGGAACAAAATCACTAACCACTGTTTCTCAAAGTAAAAAGTAGCCAGGCATTAATATCTTCTGGTTACAAGACGAGGTCGTAGACCATTAAGTCACTGGGACCCGATCCAGTGGCTAGCCCATGAATTCTAACTTCTGCCAATTCACAACATAGTGCTACATTCATTAAGCGGCTAGCTTTGCGTTCATTTACCTTAGTAAGAGATACATCAGCATAACAATGAACTACATTCTTATGGTATTCAGTGGTAGTGGTAATAGTTAAATGCTGAAACAACAACAATCCTTAATTTTTTCACATACCGAAATAATCAACTACTACCAGCACATTTATCTATCAGTAGAGCTGTGTGGATCACTGGTCAACCACCACCTGTGCAACCGATTACCAACCATTGAGTCAAAATCCGCTCCACCTATCGAAGTTCAGACAGACAGGTAGTGTCAGTAGCCGCTCATACAATTTATGTGGCTCATTCTCAATTGCATGGAAATTTAGGTGGTCATCGAGTAGTGGTTATTCGTTCACATTCATCTACGGGAATCTAGGAATGTCGATCTCATTGTCAACGAGTCTATCAAAAAGGATATCTACTTATGTTTTACTTGAGTGATTCCAGTAGTAGACTGTTCAGTTAATCATTACAGGATTCAGCTTCATGGTACATCGATCAAACACATATTGAATACCAGACAGACAGACAAACAAACAAAGAGAGAGGGAGACAGGAAATGATCAGTTTTAAAAACATGACTAGAAAAAAAACGCACTGATTACATCACACTTGATTTCAAATTTAAGCATTTTGTCTAGTCGTGTTTATCATAACATGACACCGATTAATCTGATAACATAAATGCGAAATGCATTCAATCCGTCTCAAGTGAAAACATAAACGAAAAGACACAGAAATCGAATTCACAGTGTACTAGTGCATTAAAAATTAATACAATTGGTACAAAGTAGTTCGTCGAGTTTTGTTTTTCACTTCCGAGGGCAAAACACAACACAAAAACAAACGAACAATTCCACTATTTTCGAGTAAGTTAACTTCTGCCTACTTGTCTAAGTTATAGTAGTAGAAATACATCAAAAGGAGAAAAAAACAAACACTGAGCTTAAAACATTTTATTTCTGAAGTTCTGGTTGGCTAAAAATCTCTCTCTCACATACATACAAACCAAAAAAAGATCAAAGGTAATTTGGCAAGCAAGGCCAAATGAAACAACAAAAAAGGTGTCTATTCATGAAATAATAAAACACGCCAGTGTGTTCAGACAAAAGAATTATTATTCGTATTCACATGTACATGTGCAGGCATGTGAACACAAATCAGTTGTCAAAGGGTAAACAATGTAACCACTTTCGAGCTTATATACCGATATGATTTGATTGTAGTTTATGAAAATGCTCAACAGAGATGTGTGACTAAAGTAGTATCATATGGACTTCAGTTCGCTGATGATGATGCCCATTCTTATCAAATCTATTCAGCAGTCCTTATCGTCCAAAGCTACCTATACGGTACTATTAGGCATTACTTTTATCCCCTTACGTAGTCGTGTATTGGAAAATCATAAGAGGAAACAGCTAAATAATAAATATATGGTTTAAATAATGGAAAGGCACAAAATAAAAGAAGGGGCAATTTTCGCTGTCATAGTATGAAAACACTGATGAAGTCCTATTTTTTCAGGGGAACTGGTTAGAAGGGGTAACAAAAGTGTCACTCCGATAATGATTCAACATCATAATTTGTCAGGAAGTGATTCTCAGATTAAGCTGAATAGGCTTAGCTCTATTATTATTATTCACTCCGCTCTAAGTGAACCATTCCATTTTGTTCTCTGCCATTGCCTTCAAATGGATGACTTGACAACTGCCTGAAAGCTCTCATTCCCCCTTCGCATAATCTCTTCCATGTAACCACTGGACCCACGCTCAACGGATTAATTCTCATCACGCCGCCTCACTCAATGGCCTGTCTGGCGTGCGACGTTGCCCACTGGTCTTTCCGATGTATGTCCGCTGCATCTCCAATTCCTTCTATATATTTATTATTCGGGGAATAGTCTGTTGACTGGCTCGCTGCCTGCCTATGTTCCTCATTGCTTCTCCTTTCTGGTTGGCCATCCTATCTTGTGACATTAATGTTACAAACTCGAGTCTTGTTCCTTGTGATTTCGGAGCAATGAAGGCTTCTTTTGCATTCCGATGCCCGATGACCTTGACGTCTATAGT